TTTTCTTTCTTTTTTTTTTTTCTTTTTTTTTTTTTTTTTTTCCCCTGACCCATGATAATCACAGGCATCAGCAGCCTTGTGGCCGGCGCTTCAGTAGTCTTAGAGGAACTTTTAGACCGTTCCCATTTTTCCTGAGCTTGCTTTATTTTACTTCATAGAATCATAGAATGGTTTGGGTGGGAAGGGACCCCCAGAGGTCACCCAGCCCAACCCCCCTGCAGGAGCAGGGACACCTTGAACCACATCAGGTTGCTCACAGCCCCGGCCAACCTGGCCTGGAATGGTCCCAGGGATGGGGCCTCCACCCCCTCTCGGGGCAACCCCTGCCAGGCTTTCACCACCCTCACGGCAAAGAATTTCTGCCTTAGATCCAGTCTGCCTAAGGTCCAAAAAGACTGCACTGTCAAGGATTGTGCCTGTGGGGTGGCAGCAACTAGCTTAACCAAAAAAACCCCACCCAACCCCTTTCCTCCTGCACCCCCAGTAACTCAACATAACCCCGAGGTGCTGAAATCCCCTCCATCCTGCCACCGAGAACCGAGCTGTAATGAGCCTTTCTGTTACAAATTGCCTTTTCTATCAACTTAAATAAGGATTTAGCTCAGCTTCTCAAAGAATGAAAAGCTCGCCTCTAATCCCCTCGTCCCTCGGCTCGGCCGTGGCGCTGGCTCTCACGTTTCCCCTTGGTTTATCGTCTCTAGAACGTGGAGGTGGACGGGCTCTCCTACCGGCTGGAGGGGCTGAAGAAGTTCACCGAGTACACCCTGCGCTTCCTCGCCTACAACCGCTATGGCCCCGGCGTCTCCACCGAGGATGTGACAGTCACCACGCTTTCGGATGGTGAGTGGCGATGGAGGGGTGCCGGGGTGGGCAGGTTGCGTCTGTGGGTTGCAATCATCCGGCTTTTTTTTTCTTCCGCCGCCGTATTTTGGAAGAGGCATCAATGAAGCAAGGAGGTTATTGAATGTGGAGGACAGAAAGGAGGTTCAGTACCTACCACCTCCAAACTGGTGCTCATCTCCAAGGATCAGTTGGTTTGGTTCATTATTCCTATAAGTAGTGATAAGGACTCGTTAACTTTCTCGTTAACTTAGGCGCAGGTGTATCCTTCCACCTTTTCAACAGGCACTAATTTATTACGGCTGCATTTGAAGAGCCAACGGCCCAGGGTTTTCCTTGTGCTTTAAACACGGGGGTAGCCCCCGAGCGCCTGCCGTGCTCCTGTGGCTCGCAGGCTCACGGAGATAAATTGAATTTTATTTTGTATTCAGAAGCACTTGGTTGTGTCTGATAGCGCAAAGCGTATGCGTGCCCGACTCCTCTTGAAGTCACTGAGCCTGATTCCCACACCGGGCTAAACCAGGAACAGGTTCAGTGGAGTCGTTTGGGCTGCAAAAGCGTAAAAACCGTAAAAATGAAGGCAAAATTCTTTCAGCAGGGTTGGTGGTGAGGGTTCGTAGAGCAGAAGCCAGACCAGGGACAGGCTCCAGAGGCTTCAGGGATGGGCCAGCTCCTGACGGAGCCCCACAGCCAGAGGGGCTTTTTCCCTACCAACATTTTATTTAAAGATGACAGCAAAGGTGTCAACTAAGCTTCAAAAGTGAGTTTTATAAATGGTTCGTTTTCCTTCCGATAAAAATTTGGACAACTTCTTTTTTGCTCATGCTACTAAAACAAGATACGGGAGGTCGAGCAGCCCTGGCCTGGGTTTGTGTCACTAATTTAAGGTTGTTTTCATGGGGAAAAAAAATGTTTACTTTTACGTGAGAGTATGAAATCAGGGAGCGGGCAAGAAATACGTTGCTGTGGGCTTCAGTGGGGAGTGTTCAGCTTGTTGGGCTTTTCTCCTCTTGGAAGGTCAGCGGTAATGAACGTTCAGAAATGGTGCCCGGCACGTGCCTCTGTCGCATAAAAATTCCGCGACTGGTCTTTTCCATGCTGTAGATTGACACTAGAGGGAAAAAAAAAATAAATTAACGGAGAACCAGGGGGCCTGAGGTGTATCCCTTTTATATTTACAAATATTTATCTAATGTTCTTCCAAAGCGGATGACTCTGCCTTGTTATTCTACACAAAACAGCTGAAAAATTGTATGAGGTTAAGGATGGGGATTTTCTGCCCGGTAACCCAGTTGCTTCCGAATACTGCACCTGATCGACTAAAAATACCAATTTTGGGGCAGCCTTGGTAGAAGGTCTATAGATCCCAGAGCAAATCAGCGGCAAAGGGGTATCCTGCACTGGAGAAGCTCTTGTATTGGTTTCTTTTGGAATCCAGGAGGATTTGTTCTTTTATATTTGTTATGTTGGAGTTGGGAGGAGCGGGGCTTTCATTTGAAAAAGGCTGAGCCCTAAGTTTAATTCAGAAATAAATAGGCCCCTTGGCAAAGGGCACTGGGAGCCTCTAAAATCCACCCCTCCAAGAGCCACGTGGAGGGCGCCGGGGTGCGGGGAACCCCCAGCGAGGGAGCTGGGGAACCCCAGCGCTGTTCTAATCAAAATTAAATAAATCTAATTTATTCCGGGCTGTATCTTCCGTGGGATTCATCTGCAAGACCCCCGGGTCGGTTGGCACAGAGTTGACACCTCTGGAATATTTTTTTTCAAGCGCTACTTATGTCTACCCGGCAGATTCAGTTTTCCCTTGTAATACAGGCTGGATCTTGGCAGAATAAATTACTTCACACTTATAATTATAAAAACAAAAGGAAAACAAGTGAAAATGAATATTTTGCATAATGTATGTAGATTTAATTCACACTGTGAAGTGTAGAACTGCGGCCCTGTGCTCCACTTTGGTTTTAAATGTCACCGTAAGTGAGAAAGGGAAAAAATTGTTATTCATGAGCCTGAAAATTAGCCGCTGTGAGCGTTTCAAACGCTTCACCTGTCTGCGAACAAAACCCATTGCTAACGAGAAGGTTTGCAGGAGACTATTCCAGAAAACAGGAGTGTGCTCCGGTGCCCTGCTTTCGGGAATCTGGAAGAAGACGGTATTTCTTTTTCTCTTTATTGAAGCAAAAGGCTGTTGTGGAAAGAGCTCAGCTGGCTGCAGCCTTCCTCTGGGGTTTTTTTTGGAGCGGGTGTAAAAGAAGAGAAAATCCCTTTAGGGTATTTTTTCCTCCCCGTTATTCTGGGTCTGCCTGAAGCGGCTTTGGTCTCTTGCACGACGAAGAGCAGCCAAAGCGAGAGCCTGGCTTTGGCCGAGCCTGGGCGAAGCTGGAGTCCGTCCTAACCGTCCCGCTGCTGAGAAGGAAAGGAGGGAATGGAGAGAGCAAGCCTGCGGCACCACGACTTCCCGCAATATCTTTGTTTATGGTACCATGCCAGGACCTTTCCCAGGGGTTAAGGTCCCTTCTGCTAGAAGGATGCCCAATAAAACAGCAAGAAAAATAACTCCTGCATGGGCGAGCCAACGGCCTAGGTAGAGGAGAGATGAAGACATTTAATCCGTCCTGGTTTTTAGGTGAGAGATAAAGGAAGGAGAAAGCCTGTACTTGTCCGTATGTGCATCTGGGGTTTTGGGCAGGTTTTGTTCCTGCGTCCCCTGCCACCACCCTTGCCCATGGAGGAGAGCGGCTCCCCAGGCTGCCCCGCTCTGGTTTTTGGATTGCAACCCATTCTCCAGCTTAAACTGAGATTTGGCAGCTTCATCAGACAGGGACCACCGCTGTCAGAGGGACAGGAGCTTGCTGCCTGTCCTGGCTCCTGCCCAGTGCTCTTGCCACCAGGCAAAACCATAAGGAGGAGCAACCTGCTCATCACGACCGGCTCCCTTTGGTCTTTGCTTCGTGTCATCTTTGCATCCCGGTCCGTGCAGTCTCTAGCAGATTTATTTTCGCATCGGTAGCCAAACCCGGAGGGCAGCCCCCGGGCAAGGAGCCAGGATGCTCTCGAAGGGCAGCGACTCCCACGCTACGTTTCCGAAAGCTGGTTTGAAACAGATGTAAACGTCAAGCATGGGAGAAAAGTCCTGAAGATTGGTCTGTCTTTCCTTTCCTCTTGTAGAAATGACAGGATCATTTTTAAGTCTGCCTTCCTCTTGAGAGCGTGCGTGCTTGAGCCGGTTATTTTTTCCGCGCCAATCCTCTGCTGTATAGCATATGATATGGTATGTAGTTGCACACACACAAAAAAAAAAAACCCAACCCTGTATTATTTAGTTCCTGTAGGCAGGAATGTTCCATGGAGTTCTGGGGTGTAACACATAGTCTGAGAAACGCACACCAACTTGGTGGGATTTGGTGTGGGATCTCCAGCAGCTACAGACCCCAGACAGTGTTCACCCAATCAAGGAACATACTGTATCTTTAATGCTTTATTTCAGTTTAAAATACAGCTCAGATAATATTTGGCCAAGCCTGCGTGCCATTTCAGAAATGCTTTGAGCTATCATGCCCGTGAATTTATCCAAATGCATTTAATCCCAGCGATTGGCAGACAGTCTTATTTCATGCTTCCTGAGTACTTGATTTAAATATAATTTATATCCGTAATTATAATAGGAATACTTTTTTTAAGTAAAAAAATTGAAGATTGAGGTTCAGATTGACACAGGAGAGGGCCTGTGGAGTTCTTCAGATGTTGATAGCGTTCATGTGTTTGTGTGAGAGCTGAGAGCAGGGCGAGGAGGAACGGGCTGCGAGGGGTTTACGTGAGTGCGAGCAAAGCCCATCGCTTGGAGCCACCAGCATGGATTTACCAGAGGTGAGCGGTGTCTTGGCTGTCACCCTGCTGGGGACCATGTCCCTTATTGTACCACCCCGAGAGCCCAGCCTCTTGGCATGGTGAATTCCCCCCAGACGACCCAGCAAGTTTGCAGATGACACCAAGCTGAGTGGTGTGGTTGACACACCAGAAGGAAGGGATGTCATCCAAAGAGACCTGGACAGGCTGGAGAGGTGGGCCTGTGTGAACCTCATGAGGGTCAACAAGGCCAAGCGCAAGGTCCTGCCCCTGGGTCGGGGTAACCCCCGGTATCCATACAGGTGGGGGAAAGAAAGGATGGAGAGCAGCCCTGCCCA